CTTATGATTCCTTACAAAAAATTCCCCCAAAACAAACAGCCTTTTGACCAGACGACCCCCTTAAGCCGGTTGATTTTTGTAGGACGATTTGGATAATTCCATAAAGTGTGGAATGGTTCACGGATTGCTATATGATAGTTATAATATAACTATAGTTATAGTTATAGTTATAACATTTATACTTAAGAAGCGCGTGATCTCTTTTCAAAGTAATGCGAGTCGAATTTTGTTAATGGACGACACCAACACGCCAACAGCTCGACCTAGACCCTCGTGTACCTTTCGGTAAAAGCGTATTCCGATCGACAGGCTACAATTGGCGCGATTATCTCGCGAGAATGCATTACGTTTTATTCGAACGAGCTTTTCACCTTTGTTCGGGCGTAAAATGCAGCTTTAAGCACTGAGCCTTTGCGTGAGTGCATGCTCACGTTCAAAGGGAGAAAATTGAGCGGAACTGTTGTCCGGGGCCGGACGTTTGCTCTCGACGTTAGCGACATGTCAAGACAAAAGAAAGAGAGAGAGAGAGAGAGAGAGGGATTTGATCTAGATTTTGGAATTAATCTTTGTCAAATCTTTGATGTTACGCAAACTTGCCTCCTTGCAAAACAAAAATATTATCAATAATTTAATAAACATTAGCAAGAATTTCATACTTTTTTTTGTTTAAAAAAATTAATTAACAAAATCTGACAGATTTGTTGATTTCGATCTGGTTTAAGCATATTAAGAATGGCTCTAGATTGGACCACGATTTTAATTATAACACAATTAATTTTTGCGTAATGAAGCCATCCGGTAATGAATAGCCTACTTTGAGAGAATACAACTTTTAGTATAATCGATCGACGATTTGTACTCAGGCAGGGACGAGAAGAAATTAATCAAGGTCGAACGACAATATCCTTCTTAATGCGATTACATCTCCATGGGTACGGAACGGAAGTTCCGTTGGAGCTAAGAAGGAAGATCAAGGAAATAAGTATAGTCTCCCTCTCTCTCTCTTCTCTTTTTGATTGCGTCTGCATTGCTATTTATTTATCCGATGCGAGCAATAGTAAATATATATTTAACAAAATTGTTACCAAGTTACAATAAAGGATTGCATAATAACATAAATTATTACTATCTATAAAGAAATCATAAATATTAATCGACAATTTGATTATTTATTATAATTAGTCATTTAATAATAACAAATATTGTTTCAAGTTTTCTCTTTTCGTCTCTAGATATATTTTTCTAAGTTTCTTAATTAATTTTTTTATGGCTCTACATACAATCTACATACAGGGCTTATATTTTAAAAATTTATCAAAATTGATAAAGAATGATTGTACGTTAATATACTTTTTTATAGTATATTCTGATCCTAATAAATAATGCGCACATATAAATATGATTTAAATTATTATAACTCGTTTATACGATATATTGATCGCGAATATCGCTTAATGAGTTCAATCAAATCACTCCACTTTTTGAAAAAACGCTGTTTTGTAAATTTATTTCGTATTATATGAAGGAAGGAATCAGTGTATTATACATATAGGCGGAAAGATAACACACGCCGCTCAGAGGGGAAACGGGTGAAAAAAATGCGATATATGACGCACTCATACCAGCGGGTTAGTTCCATAACTGCATTGTGCGTTATTTAGAGCACCGGTAGCGAGGTGCTTTTAGGCACGTAATTCGATAGTCAACTTTCGGAAATGCGGCAAGGTGACATTAATACGATGACGCGACTGAGTCGATCGTCAAGCTGACAGGAACGGTGAACCAGCGCTTTTTCAAAAAAATGATTCCTGAAAAAATTTTTTTATTCCGATTGCCTAAAGTTTCACAAGTTAGCGCGACATTAGAACAAGCGAATTAATCGTCCGAAGAGGAAATAGTATGACTCTCATCATTTTTGCTCTCTGGGAGCAACACAAGCATTCTTATTTTTATTATTATCGTCATTGTATGAAAAATAGTAACAATATTAGCTTTATGTAAAAGATAATATACTATTATTGCCAAAATTAATTTATTATATATTTAACACCGTTTAATTAAGAAATATTGTACGCATTACTGAACAACATTAATGTAATTTTCAACGAGCAGTGAAAGAATTTTTAATTATACTAACAAATTTCAGAATTTCGTGTCATGATCTTTTAATGGAGCCCATAAAACTAAATTATTTGAACTGCAGAGAAGAAGGCGCGCGTATCTTAAAGTAAACTTTGATTCTTTTACAGTTTCTTAGCGGCTATACGCGCTACTTTTCGCCCTCTAATTTGTTCGCCTTTTAACTTCGCTTCCTTCTTGTACGGACACGACACTTTTCCGGAAGCGGGGCCTCTCTCTTTCCATCTCACTCCCGCTTCCTATAGATCGCACAATAACCGTTTTGCCCCATCACACAATGGCTCCTCTTGTCTTAAGATTCAAGAATTTTTCGCAAGACTCTTCCTTCTAGATAGACGTCCGATGGATGGAAGAATAATCGGATCTCGTTTGATCGACTTACATCAAGAATTTGTACTATGGCGATCGGAATAGAATCGTATTATTATGATTCAACGTTAATTGAAGATGCTAATGATGGCTGAGAATCAGCATTTAATGAATTGTGATAATATCGTTCTAAAATAATCGTTATAATAAAAATGTGAAATGAACATGAAATTAGTGTGGTAGGCTAAAAGAGAGTTTTAAGGCATTTCTTTAATAGTTGCAATTGATTTGGCATAGGAAAAGGAATTGAAAGATATATTATGTATTTGTTTCAAACTTAGTACTTCAGATATTCCTATTCATTTATATTTCGATTTGATGATTAACTGCTCAGTATTCACGAGAACTACTGATAATTAACGCATACCTCTTTCTACTTAATATACATGTATCTTTGGAAAGAAGGATGAAGAAGGAGAGTAAATAGATCAATTTAATCATTTACATATTGCAACAAAAGTCGCGAAAAAATGTAAGGAAATGCACCGTTATAAATTTGATAAAACAAATCGTTTACAAATAAAACAAAACGTCATTTTGATAATTTGGTAGTTTTAATTTTTGTTAAATTGAGTATTGTGTCTTTTTTAAATAGACTCGTTTGTGTGCTTTTCTTCGCAGGTGCATTTCTGGTTCCCTACTGCGTGATGTTAGTGGTCGGCGGGATTCCTCTGTTTTACATGGAGCTCGCTCTCGGTCAATTCAACAGGAAGGGTGCTATCACCTGCTGGGGTCGACTGGTACCGCTTTTCAAAGGTAGGTGTAATCATATGTTACAAACGCGACGGAGTATATTGAGTTTCTTAATTTTTTACATATCTTTCCGATATAACGACAGAGATATAATATTCGAGTAAAGCAAACTGAATGCGATTCTTTGAATATTACGGTCAGCGTGTGTATTTATGTCGGTAAATGAGGAAGGAGTGGTAAAGTTTTTTTTAACCGAGCCATTATCTTTACATCTGTACGATCTCTGTATTATTACCTATAATTCTAAAATATCGTAACATCTTATTTATGATTTACAAACACATTTTACACGAATCATATAATGAGTGCTATAATTGTTCGACGTAAATATACACGTAAATCTGAAACAAAAAAAAATAAATAAGTAACGTATCTCAAACTTTCAGGAGCAAATCGTTTTATACAAACTAATGACAATGAAAAATGTTGCATCAATGATGCATTATAAATCTGCATGCATTACTTATTTAATCATATACGGACATTCTCAAGTGCTAAATTTGAAATGTATCCGGCGTCATAATGATATAAATGTGACCAGGAATTGATTTATCAAGATCTACACAGTTCGGCTTAATCTTTTTTTTTCCTATTTAGCTTCAATTGTAGTGACAAAAACTCGCGGAATACTACCGTTTAACTTAGGGATGGTCAGTAGAACCTGTCGCTTCTTTCGGTTTCTTCATCTCTTGGTTATCATTCTGGTCACACGCGCACGCACACAAGCGTACATGATTACACTTAAAAGTTTATAGCTTCTCGCGTGCGAGGCGGCTCGTAACGCCGCCGACCATTGAATCCGCTCACGCACGTGCTGGTCGTGCGCCGCGAGATTCATGAAACATACATCTCGAGGCAATGACAGGTTATATATATATAATATATATATATATATATATATGTGTGTGTGTATGTATTATATATCGCTCGCGCGCGCAGAAATCCGCGCTCGAACCGTTCGAGAAAATCTTTTCAGGAGCTTAAGAGCCGGGAACGGCCCTCTCTTTACTCTCATTATATTCTACCTCGCTTTCTCTCCTCCCCGGTTCTCGGACAGGGTGGGATATTGCTATTTCAAGTCGGTCTCGCCTTTCTATTCGATCTCGCGATCTTTTCCTGCTACTGGAACCTAAAATCGTGAGGACGATCATCCGATTTTGATGCGCGCGAGGCTGAATCCGCCTGTCTGACCGCGGAAAGAGTGGTATACGTATATATGTGTGTGTGTTTATCTCATTACATATATGTATCAAAATTATATATATATATATGTCAGTCGAATTCTACATATGCGTGCGCGCGCGTATGCGTGTGTGTGTTTATATATACCTTCGCTACCTCGCAGATCTTTCTCGACCACGGTTACTTTGTGCGACGCGTATAAATCCGAGAGAATCGCAGTGAGATGCGAGAGATGCGACCGGTGCTCTCCGCGCAAAGAGCCTCCATTTCCGCCGATTTCCAACTTCATTTCCACAGCCACAATTTCACCCCGTTCACCCGCCCGCCCATCCATCCGCTCGACCGCTGATCGCCGTATGATCGATCGAGATCCTCTGTCACCCGCAATTCTGCGTCGTGTGATAAACGTACCTTATACATACGTACGTATTGTGATATGCGCGATATCTCGCATACTGCAGTAGAGAAGGTCACAGTGTTATTTGCATAGAAGACGCGCGGACTCGACATATAGGCGCGCAAGAAACAATATCGTCGCAAGAAGGACGGTGTGTTTCTAGCGTTTCTGCCGCGTTCTCCCGATTTTTTTCGCACTTTCGCGCTAATTTATTTAGGGCCGGTTGTTGCTACTTGTTAGTACTAACTAACTAATAGTTAAATAATTATATATATATATGTCTTTGTTTTTCCTTTAAATTAAACAAAACCAGACATATGATTTAACTATTAGTTAGTTTACCAATAGAAACCGGTCCTTACATATAGTGATCTTGATCCTTATACTTCTGAGATCAACTTATAACGCACACGGATTGCCAAGGAGAAAAAAGCTGCAATAAATAAAAAAAAATATTAGAGAATCTTCGGGCAGCAAAAATTTAATGCAAAATTTTTGCAATAAAAATATAAATCCTTTGTCATATATTGAATACTTACACGATATTATTTTATTTAATTAATAATAAACGAGTTTATTATTTAAATCGTTTTTTGGTACAATCACTGACTATCTATCATTTTACGTAGGCCTTAGAAACTACCAAATGCTCTTTCTGAGAAGATATAATTTTGTCACCGTGCGATGAAATCGTTCGGCATGAAAACTCGAATTCTTGTTGATCAGGTATCGGATACGCGGTCGTCCTAATCGCGTTTTACGTTGATTTCTACTATAACGTTATCATCGCCTGGTCGCTACGCTATTTCTTCGCCTCGTTCACCACGATGCTGCCGTGGACCTCCTGCGACAACAACTGGAACACGCCGCTGTGCCGCGAGTTCGACCCGAACGTCTCGTACGCGCTTGAGGATATGACCAGCGAGATGAATGAGAATTTTGGAAACACCACCCGACTCCTGCTCGATCTAGGATCGGATACCGCTGTTCAGAGTACAATGGATAACCATACGAGCGCTGCGCATGAATACTTCAAGTGAGTGACGTTCGACGCTTCGCCTGTGAACAACAAAATCGTCTTTGACGCGAACGTTTAATATTTATATTTGGCAAATAATTCGGATTTTTAGAAAATCTTATGGTTCTTAACGAAATATTAATTTATGTCTAACGCGAAAGGAATTTATGTATAATTTAAAATATTTCACAACAATTTCAAATGACATTTGAAGAATGAGTGTCGAATGTTGATTTTATATATTTCATAAATGTTTCACCACTTTCTAAATTCGAATTTATTCCAACAAAACAATAACATAATAGTATAAAAATTAAAATATATTGTTAAAAAATTAAAATACATTGCTTTCTTTCACGCGAATTGTTCACACACACACACACGCGATATCTCCGTGAATTACAAAACTTCTTTCCCCTAAGTCGCGCTATTCTGGAGCTGCACCAAAGCGAGGGCTTACACGATCTTGGTGCCATTAAGTGGGACATCGCGCTATGCTTGCTCGTGGTCTATCTAGTCTGCTATTTTTCCCTGTGGAAAGGCATTTCGACTTCCGGCAAGGTAAGCTGAATGCTTCGTCAAACATTCGAGATCCTAAAGACGGGCGAGTGAATCTCCGTGAGGTATTTTTTTCGCGAAGGTTTAAGATTCGCAATAAAGCGCTGTTGTATAAAATATTTAATATTTATAAAACTCAGAGCTCAATCAAGCGCGCTTTCCACGATATATGTGTAGAGTATTTTAGATCGCGAGGATGTAATTAATAACACAGAGTGAGCGATTCTTTTGTATTGCAGGTAGTCTGGTTTACCGCTCTTTTCCCTTATGCAGTCCTGCTGATTTTGCTGATAAGGGGTGTCACTCTGCCAGGCAGTAGCGAGGGAATCCGTTATTATCTCAGTCCAAATTTCAATGTTATCACAAAAGCAGAGGTACGTGTAACGTTCTGGTTTACCGCATGCGTATGCAATGCTTGAAATATTCGGCGTGATTTTTAAGAGGCGAATTTTCAACCCATTTATCGCGTTCAATCACCGTTTTTGTACGTGACATAAATATATTTTGTTAAAATCCAAGCAATTTGTAATAAATAAACTAAAATAAAATTAATAGCCAGAATTGATTAACAAAATTAATACGTTGATAATTAATAATGATTTAAAGTAATTTATAATTCCGTTAAATTATATAACTCTCGTGTGATTAATGATAAAAAATAACGTAAATATAAAATAATATAAAATACTGAAGCTATTTAGGCGTATTACAATAAAGAAAACATCACTCTTCCATAACAAGACATTGAAAAGTTTTTCGCTCACAATACACGGGGGGATTTTTTAAAAATAAAATTATACGAAAGGAAAGTACCGGCCGCGTTCGCGATTGTTTTATTGCCGTTGACCTGGATTACCATGAGCCACGACGTATCCCTGCGGCAGTGACAAAAGGAGAAAACTTTGGGAGTTAATGCGTTTACAGGATCGCGAGCGGGTTCGGGAGCGGTAGGAGAGGCGGGGGAGAGGTCGGGCAATGGGAAAGGCCGAGGTATGGGAAAAATGGGGAAGGAGGAACGTGCAGGGTTAACTGACGACGGTGAAAATGGAAACTCTGTGTAGCTGTCATAATGAACATTAGAGTACGGTGGAGCACGCGCTAGAACGTTAGAACGCGCGCCGACCCTCTCGTGCTTCGCGCGCGGAATGCATTCCGCCGGCGACGTCGACGGCGACGGCGACTTAGCCGCTTATCGTCGCCGCTAAAGTGGGTTTTATACCAGTGAGAAAGTGGATTTGTTGATCACCTCTAATCCGTGGATATACGAGAAGAATCAAGCTAATGTATTGGCCGATGCTCCTTCTTTCCCCCCCGCTTTGGACTGCTCTCTCTTTTCTGGCACCCGATTTTTTTTCGCAAATGCAGCGTAATGTTTATTTCTTTTATAGGAAGATATACATGTACATATACCGATGTCGTACGTTATAGCAAATATGTAATTCATGTACTTGCCGCAACGACTTATGAAAATTATTAACAGCTTATAGCTTAATATAGATACTTAAAACAATGAAATAATACTTTTAAATTACGGGCGTGAATTCTTAAGGGGATATTTAGTATTCATTAATTAAACCGAAGAAACATAAGAGTAAAATAAATAATTTATGATTACTATTTCTCCCTTACGGAACTTTGAAGTATATACTATAAAATAAAAAAAAGGGATTGAAAAAAATTTCTCTTGAAATTAACATATTGCTATATCATAATTGATAAATTTTTATGAATTTGTTTATTATTTATTTCCCTAAAAAGGTATAGGAACATGTTTTATCGCTTCTACGAGGATGTTCTTTCTGTCTTCTTCCAGGTATGGGTGGACGCGGCGACGCAGGTATTTTTCTCTCTAGGACCGGGATTCGGAGTGTTGCTGGCCTACGCGAGCTACAACAAGTATCACAACAACGTTTACAAGTAAGAATGCCGGAATATCTTCGCGCGCATCCGCGCGCATCTCGCATCTGCGTCTGACACCCCCGTGTTCTTCGCAGAGACGCCTTGCTGACGAGCTTGATCAACAGCGCAACGTCCTTCGTCGCCGGATTCGTCATATTCTCGGTGCTCGGTTACATGGCGCGTGCCAGCGGCAAGTCCATCCAGGACGTCGCTACGGAAGGACCCGGTCTGGTTTTCATCGTCTATCCGGCGGCCATCGCTACGATGCCCGGCTCGACGTTCTGGGCGCTCATCTTCTTCATGATGTTGCTCACCCTCGGTTTAGACAGCTCAGTACGTTTTTATTTTAAAATGAATTCATCGCATATGAATTACTTTAACAATATTTTTGTATATTTTTTTTTATTTTATTGACAAAAGTTCTTTCAGTTGCAAAACGTTTCTTCGTGCAAAGCTGCCATTATTAAATATGCCGATATTAAATATAATATGTTGAAAGTACTTTTCCTTTAAGCGATGGAACGCCTTATTATTATGCAACTTACGAATAATTAAAACAAGAATTAATGTGATTTTATAGTTCGGAGGTTCAGAGGCAATTATAACGGCACTCAGCGACGAGTTTCCAATAATCGGCAACCATCGTGAGATCTTCGTGGCGTGCTTGTTCACTCTATACTTTCTGGTCGGACTTGCTTCTTGCTCACAGGTATAGATATTCTAATTGCTAAGATTGTTGACAAACATCGGTATTTTTTACTCGATAAAAATTTTCAGACAACATAAGGACATATGTAAGAAGCACGTATCGTAAAACTATTTAATAAGCTTGAAATTTTTCTTAGGCGATTTTCGGAAATCTTCAGAAGTCTTAGATCTTATTAAGATAACATTTTAGATTTTCATACTGTTGTACATATATATGTTACATTTATGCGAAATAATATTTGATTTTTAATACGTGCATAATGGCTCATATTATAAACAGGAGTTTTTATTGCTTTTCAATATAGGGCGGGTTTTACTTTTTCCACTTGTTGGATCGATACGCGGCCGGATACTCGATGCTGTTCGCCGTTCTGGCAGAAACAATCGCGGTCAGCTGGATTTATGGAACGGACCGATTTTGCGCCGACATCAAAGACATGATCGGATTCAGACCGGGTATCTACTGGCGAGTATGCTGGAAATTCGTAGCACCACTTTTCCTTATGGTACGTCACAATATAGCCAACGTATCCGAAAATTATAATTATATAAGATAGCTCTTAAAGAATCATTACCGTTTAAAAAAGAATTTGCACTTCCAATAATTTTTACTAAAAATATATTTTTATTTCTTATAATATTAACAAAGATAATAATACTAATAATTATTATAATTTTATCTTAAGAAAAAAATTTTTCTATGTCGGTTTCGACTTTCTTTTGATTTCGTTTCAGTTGCAATTTTTACGAGAAAGACACAAGCTTTTTACCCAACCTGCACTCTAAAGACCAAGCTTATTTCGTCGTTATATATTTTTAAAGCTTATTCGTTGTTGTACTTTGTTTTTATTATAGTAGAATATTTTCTTAATCAAAATTCAAGCTTAAAAATTGAACCTGGATCTTTTTGCTTAATGAGCAACTGCTCTAATACTGAATTAATGTAGCATCTTGATAATAATAGTCATTGTATTTATCATATGTACGTTTATCTTTTATTTGCTTCTAGTTCATTATCGTTTACGGTTTAATGGGTTACGAACCTTTATCATACGAGGGCTACGTTTATCCGATTTGGGCAAATATATTAGGCTGGCTAATCGCGTGCTCTTCTATCATCATGATCCCAGGTATGGCGATCTACAAAATCTGCACCACACCCGGATCCTTTGTTCAAGTGAGTATTTTATTTAAATTTTAATATAATTATTTTATTTAAATTTATCTCCAATTTAAAAATCGATAAAGACATAAAATTGAAATGCGATTAAATCTAAAATAATCATTTTAAATGTACTTTGTGTAAATGAGTTTAATATTGGGTAAATTTGCTGAAAAGATTGATTGAGGATTGATTAAATGCTGATAAAGTAATTATAAAACAATCTTGTCAAATTATTTAAATTGCATTTGTGATAATTGATTGTTTTGCGGGAGAAAATAATGCGGTATACATATGCGTAAATTTACTAACACAGAGGTTGAAAATCCTGACCACACCATGGCGAGACACGCAGCATCAGAGGAATGATCTGTCCTCGGTGGCGAACGGCGCGATTCGTCGAAGTTTCCTGGCCGAGCAAGACTTCGAAATTACCAAGGATCACGAGTTAACTAAGGAACAGACGGAGGTAATGATTCAAAATAGAGAGGGTGTCAAGGGGAGCGATCCGCCCCCCGAGCCAGTCTAGGACAGTGCGGTTGTGATTTTGCACGGTGCCCGGTTCCAAGTATACCTCTGCTAGAGCACGATCGCCGAGCAAGGTCCCACGACGACGAGTAACAATCCGCCGATCGAACAAGACAAGGATCAGTCTCTTATCACGAATCGATACACAACACTCGAACGCATTCCCCACTTGAATCTTAGGGCGACCGGTTTGATTGACGACGCGATTCCGCGATTCGACGTTCGTGCGTCGGATCCCACTTTGTTTCTTTGTCAACGAGAACGGAATAAAAGCTATCCTCGTTCCGCGTGTCCTATCGCGATAAAAA